ACATTTATACAATTATCGTTCAACATTTGGCACTTAACATTCAGCATTTCACATTCAAATTAAATTTTAATATTTAAAATTCCAAATTTAACATTAAGCATTTAACATTAAACAATAAGCATGTTAAAGTGTTACATGTAAATTGTAACAATTATGATTTAACATTTAGCATTTAACATTAAACATTGACAATTCACATTTAACATCTAACATATTACATTTAGCATTTAGCATTTAACCTTTAGCATTTAGCATGCAACATTAAGCATTGAACAATTAACAAATAATATTTAAAATTTTACATTTAACTTTTAACAATCAACATTAAACATTTAACAATTAACAGTAAACGTGTAACATTTAACATTTAAAATTTAACATGTAACATTTAACATGTAACATTTAACATGTAACATTCGCATGTAACATTTAACATGTAACATTTAACACGTAACATTTAACATTTAACAAAACCAAAATGCCGGCTATATATAAAATGTACTTAAATTTCTTCTAAAATTATTCATATTCATTTTATAACATATGAAATCGCAGTTACCTATAGTCGATCACCATTTAATTTCAATGGCACTACAACCAACCGGTCAGCACTCGTCTTTATTTCAGCTACCGTGGGGACGTAATTTGTGATTAGCCCCGGTCCCTTTCATTATCATTATTTATGTACGGTCCTTATATTTGAAATGACGATTCACATTCATCTAGTGATGGCCGATTTTGATTCGAATAATAGATTAATCGATTAACGAACCGATTGGGCCTCCCTTAGCTCAGTCGGTAAAGGCGCAGTGAGGGCGACCCCGGCGTAGTGGTTAGCATTCATACATCTCACGCCAAAGTCACGAGTTCAAATCTCACCCCCGGACAAGTCACGAATGACCCAAGAGCGTTAAAGACTATAAAAAAAAAAAAAACGGCGCAGCTACAAAGCAAGACCATGCTGGAGGTGGCTGGGTTCGATTCCCGGTCCGGTCAAGGAATTTTTCGGGTTGGAAAATTGATCGACTTCCCTGGGCATAGGGTATGATTATACTTGCCACTCAATTATACTATAATGCAGAAATGGTACAGGCATCGAAAGCTCTCAATGTGGAATAACTGTGGAAGTAGTGCATCTAGAAGTAGAACACTAAGTTGAGAGCACGCAATAAGCTTTATGCGATATGCAATAAGCTTTAAATGCGAAGAAGAAGAAGAAGAAGAAGAAGAAGAAGAACCGAAAAGTAAAATATTTGTAATCGGTTATATCATGCCGATATAAGCATTAACTTCTCCAGAGGATCATCACCTATCGGTTCAAACATGTGCTGCACATGGTGGAAATATGACAGCACAGCGAACAAAAAATAATCGATTAGTTGTTAATCGAGTTATTAGAAAATGGGACATCTCTGATTTTGATGTGATTGTTTTGAAAAAAAGAGTACAAAATTCCATCTCTACCGAGGGGACAGCAAAACCACAAAATTACCTTGTATACGGGGGGTATTTATTGGATGAAAGGGACCGTGAAAGAGGACACTAAAATTGAAAGTTTTTCTTCCGACAGTTTCATCTTAGTACAACCACAGACAAACAGACATAACACTCGCAAGTTGTTCATCGAACAAGCATTTAACGGTCAATTTAAAAGTATCGTAGTTGGTAGTACCGCCACCTGTGGCGCGCATGGTCATTTTCCTTGCGTTTGACGTTTACACACTACCGCCATCTGTTCAGCGTACTACCCACCACAATGTACTCAACAGATAATGTTTCAGCGACGATGTTTTCCACTGAGAAATATTCAATGTGTTATGTCTGTTTGTCTGTGGTACAACCATAGCGGTAACTCTAAAACCAGAAGGTCCCAAAGAAACGTGCTCAACTTTTTGGCTCAGCTCTGGTACTCTCTTCGGTTCCAAGCTAATCGATGCACCCCTCGAAACATTGGAAAATCCACGAACCCCTCATTTTATCTGTCAAACTTTCATACACACTTATTCTGGTCAACTCAAAATTGAGTCGAATGTACTCATCTCAGCGGCAAGTAGGGCTACTCAAAATTGAGTAGCCTTATGTTGACTCACTTTTGAGTAAACTATAGGATTTTGCTGACTGAGTGGCTTTTACTTAGTTTGACATTTCTCGTTTACTCAGTTTTTGACAACTCGATACATCGGATGAAAGTGAGTACGATCGACTCACCCGGTGAGTAAGCTGAAGTTAGCGTGTAGCGAATCAAAACAAATCAAGAGCAAATTTTAATTATGTCGTAAGTAACATTCGCACCAATCCGAGAAAAATAAAGTTTTGTTTTGATGACCGAAAAGTTATTCCTATTTCCAAGTAAACACATATAATCTCATAGTGATAGCAATGTTTAACATATTTAGCAGGGTTTTAATCATACAAATGCAAATCGCTAGCTTTCATGCTAAAAAATACTGGTTTTTGAGTCAAAAGTTATTATACGTCGTTTGGTGGCCCCTATTGTTACTTAAGTCAAAGTGTATTTACCAGGATATTCGGGAGAATTATCAATTACGTCTCCTTACGTGCAGCCCATTCATCATTTTAGGACCACCGAAATCATCTTAGCAACAAACAGTTCGATTTATTCACTTTAATAATAAGAAAGAGAAACGACGAACGTACACTTTTCACGGGTTTCTCAGCGCTGTTACTTAAGTCAAACGGCAACTCCATAGAAATTGGGTGACTTAAGTAACATCGAAAACTATTTTGATCAGAAGGTGATTACGTCAAAAAGCAATTTGGCTGGCAAATAAATTAAAAAATGGGATTTGATCCTATATTCGGTCAGTATATAGTGTAATAGCAGGAGAATCGATTGACACTGATAGCTCGACTTTGTTTACCTTTGTTACATTCGACGTAATGAAAATTTGCTCTTGAAATATAGTGTAGTACTACACTCCGAAAAATATTCACGTCCGATTGACGTGAAAACATAGGTGGTTTGCGTTCACCCTATTTTTCACGTAACTTTTACCGGAATTGCACGTAGCCGATCAAAATTCAGTTTCAATTATCTACGTGATTAGTCAGGTAAATAAGACCTGATTTCCACGTACTGCTTACTTGAAATCGGGGTGAAAACTACTCGATATCTGGTAGCTTTTACGTGACATTCCGTTTTTTTTTAAAATGCTTTTCATGTAATTTGTTCGTGAATTTTTAATGAGAACAATGGTAAGTATATATAGAAGCAGTCAATATTATGCAAATTTATCGGGAAGATATAAATTTCACGTGTTTAAATTAATACTTATTTTACTCATAAAATTGTAAATATTGACTTATTGATTATTATAAGGTAGAAACGTGTATGAGTGTATAAGGTAGAAACGTGTATTTATTTCTGACAAAATATTGTTTGCAGACTGAAAATGCTGATGCCACCGTCGGAAATTGCTACTAGAAAAAGGCTACATATAATCATAAATAAATTAATGTAAAAGAATCTAATTACCGTCCAACTGCTGAGAACTTTTGAATATTTGAGGAGTTCTTCCACCACGCTCGGTAACGCCATATTGATTTTTTTTTGCATACCTGAAAATCACGTAAATCTCGTTTCGCGGAAATATCGAAGTCCCAAACACACAAACACAAATACACTAAATCTGTTTACGTGAATGTACGGTCAATTTCACCAACATTTTTAGAGGACATGACGTGTAATGCAGGTCAAAGTTACTAACGTCACGTAATATTTGAGATTTTCTAAATACAGATCAGGTACGTGATATTTCACGTAAATCCGACGTGAAGATTTTTTAGAGTGTAAAATTTTTACTAGAATGGGGTACGTTAATTGATTTCCTTGGACCAATAGGCAAGTCAAGTAGTGACCCAATTTAAAATCGATAGTTTCATATTGATTGTTGCTACAACCACCGACAAACCGACATGAATGATCATACAAATTACAAAAATATTTCTGATTAAAGCACAAAACTGACATCTGCCGTCGTGTTCGCGGAAAATATGTATCCTAGCCTTTGGTTCATGTCTAATCTATTTCGGACAAATTATTGCTGATTGCATCTGAAACTGGACTGTCCCAAAAATGCAAAAAGTGTGATAAAAGTGCACGTTTCCGTCAAATCGTTTTGATGTCTTCGGAGCACTTATTGCTTGCATCATAAGGAATAAGTGCACCGAAGACACCAAGACGATTAGACGTAAACTTACGGTTTTATCAATAAGTGAAAACGCGCTTATTAGTCCAATTTGGTGTGAAACGCGCAATATTTTTATCTAGATAAAACAGTTCTATGGATTTGACAGATGGGATCGCTGTACATTTGAATCAGCCGTTATGGATTCTCGATCAAGAGTTAAGTTTAAGTTTCATGTCGGTTTGTCGGTTCTACAATAGTCTTTTGTGTGCACGCGCGTGAAAACGCTTCAAGGAGTGCTTTGACGCTATTGCGGACGCTTCACTAAACGCGTTACTATGTCATCGGCTTTAGGCCTATATGAATAATTTAGGTGCAAATCAGTTCAGATCTGTGGAAAATCGTAAAATAAGACAATTACTGATGGAAATTTGCAAGATGTTCAATGAAAATTGCTTTAACTTGCGTTGTGAATCCTTATTCTGCTGTAACAAACGGTTTGGTTGACGTTTCCTCTCAAAGTCGACTGGCGACATTGCATTAAAAGACCTTAAATTAAAGTTTCATGAAACATCACACAATTGTCAGTTCTAGAACTCAGCCTATTGATTATTTCCTTTTTTTTTCGAAAAGCGGCTCGTCTAATCGAAATGAGGTCTGAGAAAAAGTTGTAGGAAAATGGATTGTCTTTTCAGAAAAATATACACAATGATAAAATATCACAATTTTTTGTCAAACAATTATAATAACTGTTAAAGTTGTTGCTGCCCCAAGAGATCAATCATGCGAAATTTCATGGAATTCGAAGAGGGTAAAATAGAATCGATTCGCCAGTTGTCGTGGCGCGTGGATTTGCGCTATTAACATAATTTATTACTGAAATTTGGAATAGATTTGGCTTAATTGTACTTTAAGCTTAGTGTTGCAGTTTTACCCCGTCTTCCCCTACTACTGGTCAGGAATTGTGGAAGCATAAAAAAGACCGAAAAGCAAAAACAGAAGATAATCCAGTTACGAATAGAGGGAATACAGGGCAAAACAGTAGATGCCCCCATTTATAATCAAATGAACTTATTTTGGTAAAAAAAAAATCCGACACTAAGAACTTTCTTTTCTGTACATTTATTCAACTTTACTCGGCTCCGCAGAGTTTTTGGCTCAACAAATAAACGAATTAAAAAAAAAGTGCTTCAGGTACTACTCATTGTCAAATTAATTTGTTATCATCTCCCTCACGGCCCGTCGCAGCACTTTTCCAGCAGCCGAGGTCGGCAGTCGATCCACGAAATGCACCCCACCCCTCAGCCGTTTATGATCGCTCACCTGCCCGTTGACTATGTCCAACACTTCCTTTTCCGTTAGGCCCGAGCCTTCCTTCCGCACGATGACAGCCGTTGCCAGATCCGAAGATCGATCCTCCACCGGAACTCCCGTCACGCAAACCTGCTTCACTCCATCGATCTTCTCGATCAAGGCTTCCAAATCCGATGGCGAAATTTGGTAATTTTTATACTTGATAATGTCCTTGATCCGGTCTACCACGTACATATACCCGCCCTGGTCGAAATAACCAATGTCACCGGATTTGAAAAAATCTTCCTCGTCGAATGCATCCTTCGTGGCTTGCTCGTTGTTGAGGTACCCCTAAGGAACAGGAAAGTCTCAAATTTCTGTTGCAAATCTTATCTTCAGAACCTTTACCAAAATCTTATGCTTATATCTCAGTCGTATTTCACCTCGCTCCAGCGGACCGAGCCTCCGATCGCACTCATCGACGACCTTGACCTCCAGATTCGAAATCAACGTTCCAACCGATCCAGCGACGAACGGAGTATCGGCTGCCGTGATGATTCCGATTTCCGAAGTACCGTAGACGGACTTTGTTACGCCATTCGGCAGCCGATTTGCCAGTTTGGTTCGCAGCTCCTCGGATACGATCGCCCCGCCCATGGTCCACCGCTTGACGCTGCTGAAGTCTGCCCCAGCAAAGCGCGGATGGCTTACCAACGAAGCCACATAGGACGGAGGAGTGAAAACATCCTCCACTTTGTACTGCTCAATAATGGCTATCAGTGCTTCTTCACTGAACGGTTGTCTGGTGATAACGCGTGCTCGCTGATTGTACAGCGACGTCAGAACGGCAAACATCCCCGTTGCCCAGAACAGGGCACTGTAGTTGAAAATCGGGCCGGCGTCCAGTTCTCTGTAAGGTGAGCCAAATTTATTATTTACTTTCTACTATTACTGATAATCACTTACTCAGTGAAGACATCGTTCTCAATCAAATGGGCATGAGACAAACAGACGCCCTTCGGGAGCCCTGTTGTTCCAGACGAGCATAGGATAATGGCTAGCAATTTCTTTGAATCGCCTAGATATTCGGGCACGAATTGATCTTCATCTTCCACAGATCCAAGCAGCGTATCAACCCCCTTGGACATCCCTGCACTCTTCCCCAACACGAACATCATCGGTTTATCTTTGATGGCTTCCCTAACGGCCTGCTGTACAACGTTTAGATTTTCTTCATCGCAGAACACCACCTTCGATTGCGTTTGTCGCATCATGTGAGCCAAATCGTCCCGGTTGAACACCGGTGCCAATGGATTCACCACCAATCCTATCGTAAGGCATCCCATGTAAACTGGAACTACATTTTCACTGTTGGTACAAACCAACGAAACCATGTCGCCTCGACGGCATCCCAGTTGCTGGAGATTCAACGCGACCCGCACTATTCTACGTTTCATCTCGTCGCACCGCAAATGACTACCGTGGTCGGCGTCGATTTGAATGATCTTTTCCGGCGTGCGGGACAGAAGGTTCCACACGATTTGACCAATGTTTGCCTCCGGGTTGAGAATGCTCGGCTGAATTTTGCCCCGCCACAGTTTGGATTCGCGATCGAAGCAGGCCATCGTGGGCGGTGATGTGTGTCGCAAGGCTAACTAGATTTTGCGTCTGGACGCGATGAAGCGCTCGATGCTACTGAGAGAAGCTGGATGAGAGGAATAGTAGTTCTGATGGTCTGTGCTGGTGATATTTGCAAACTGGGTGGAATGGTAGATTACTCGTTTAGGTAAATACTGACGCTAATATTGTTATCGCATAAGGAATTATTAACGAGCAAACCAACACATGGAAATGATCCGGCACGTGCTTCGGTTGGACGACTAGGGGTACTTGATAATGCATGAGTAGGTTGTTCAAGCAAGTTAGTTTTAGTCACAATTGATATTTTCAATGGAAATGCTTGAATATTACCCATATTTTCAAAATGCTTGCTTTGAAAAAGTTGGTTGATTTTCCTTTGTTCCTATGAATAGGACACAATCTGGGAAGCACTGATATGAAGCAAACTCCGTCGATTATAACCAGGCCTATTCTGCGCGGCGTGTGAGGTGAGGTGATACGCTCTCACTTGTGAAGTGACAATTGTCACCTCGGGTGAGGTGACTCTCCGTGCAAATCAAATGGAGACCCACCTTCTCGGATTTCACATTTTTGCTAAAATTCAGCCATTTTGAATCTGGTAAATTTTCAACATGGCGTTTAAATTTTTCAACAAATTGTAGCACGGAAACGGAATTTTTTCATAGAAATAGTTGTAAGTAGCATAGACTAAGTTTCTCTTTTTCTTCGGCAACATTTCTATTTGACTTACTTAACGATCCTGCGCACCTCCAGGGGTGCAAAGGGCATTTGTGAAAGATTTCCATCCTGGGTGATTACTAGCTTTGGCCTTGACCTGTGCCCAAGTCAAATTTCGGTCAACGTTCTTAATTTCACTGTTTAGGCTCCGCCGCCACGAGCCTCTGGGGAACAATCAATACGAAACTAACAATTTTAAATTGGCTCACTACTTGACTAGCCTATTGGTCCCAAGCAAATCGACTAACGTACCCCATTCTAGTATAAATTCCAGTACTACACTATGTTTGTTTTGATTCGCTATGAAAGTTCGACAGATAAAATGAGGGGTTAGTGGATTTTCCTATGTTTCGAGGGGTGAATCGATTAGCTTGGGACCGAAGATAGTACCAGAGCTGAGCCAAAAAGTTGAGCTTGTTTCTTCGGGACCTTCTGGTTTCATAGTTACCTCTATGCTCTGGGTCTGCCTCTGCTGCGATGTCCTGCTAGATTCCAGTCCAGTGCTTGCTTGCAGATTTCGTTTCCGCTCCGTCGTAGTGTGTGGCCGACCCACCTCCACTTCCGTTCACGAATTTCTGTCTCTATCGGCTTCTGATGGCACAAACAATGAAGCTCGGAATTTGAGATCCAATTGTGGGGCCACCAGGCACGAATTATGTACCGCAGACATCGGTTGATAAACACCTACAGCTTCTGAGTATTCTCCGCTAGCGTATAACAGCACAGACTTCACGTTCGAGTTAAACATTCGGATTATGGTGCGTCGACTGATCTGATTCGCTCTCCATACATTTCGCAAACTGGCAAAAGCAGCCCTCGCCTTCTTAATCCGTGCACCTATGTCGCTCTTGATGCCGCCGCCCGACGCTATCTGGCTGCTAAGATATTGGAAGCTTTCGACTTTCTCCACTGCCTGCCCAGCTACCGTGAAATTGGAACGGTTTTCCGTGTTGACATCCAACGATTTGGTCTTGTTGACGTTGATGGTTGGACCTGCTTCAGAGGAGCGTTCCACAAGGACGGCGAGCTTACTCTGCATGTCAGAGCGCCGCTGTGCTAATAACGCAACATCATCAGCCAACTCGAAGTAATTGAGATGCTCCATAGTAATAGGCTGCCACAGCAACCCACGGTTCGGTACACGGTCAACGGATCCAACCATTATCTCGTCGATTACGATGAGGAACAGTAGCGGTGATAATATATATCCTTGCCTCACACCCGCGATTACCCGAATCGGGTCAGACAAAGCTCTTTTGACGATCTTATCAGGGACTCCCTTGCGTCTCAGAGTGCCCCACAGGTTTTCGTGGTATAGTCGGTCGAAAGCTTTTTCGTAGTCAATGAATACCAAGTACAGGGACTCTTGGAACTCATTGACCTGCTCCAAGATGATGCGGAGCGTGACAATATGGTCCACACAGGATCTGCCAGCACGGAATTCTGCCTGCTGTCGTCGGAGAGTCGCGTGGATCTTCTCCTGTATCCGATTGAGGATAACTTTACACAGAACTTTGAGAACAATACACAGTAACATGATGCCTCGCCAGTTGTCGCATACAGTTGGATGCCCCTTCTAGGGGACTTTTACCAAGACGCCCTGCATCCAGTCGGCCGGAAAAGTCGCGGTGTCCCAGATATTGACGAATAGTTGATGCAACATTTGTGAGGATAGAATGGGGTCAGCTTTGAGCATCTCTGCTGATATGCGATCGACCCCCGGGGCTTTGTTGGACTTCATACTTCGGATGGCTGCTTCGATCTCCTGCAATGATGGAGCTTCAGTGTTGACGCGAGTAACGCGCCTCACTCTTGGCGGATCATGCCGAGATTTTGATGGTTGGTTGACCGTTGAAGCTTCGAGAAGTTGTTCAAAGTGCTCAAACCAACGTTTTAACTGATCTATTTAAACTGCGTGTTAATCTGCTGTTCTATTATCGGTAACTCGAAATCAGCAACATTTTTTCGTGCTTAGGCCGTTCGTAATGCTGGTGTATTTTATATGGACTATTTCAACTTGAAACTAGAACAAAAACGCACCCTTGCAAAGCTGAGTTGCAATTTCATTATTCGAGCACTAGTTTGCATCATATTTGCAACTGATTAACTATTCTGTTTTATTTGAGGAAGTTAAAGGAAAGGGGTGTAAGTGACTTTGATGGATTCTCATCATCGACTTTCTTTTTCGTTAATAATTCAGCTGCAAACACATTCCTTGATTTGTGTGCCATTCTGGATGCTAGATGAGAACCCATTTTATCAAACTATGTGGCAGAAATAGCGCAAAATCTGTTTATAAAGGTGTGGCTATCAAAAGAGAAAGTCGATGAAGAGAATCGATCAAAGTCACTTACACCCCTTACCTTCTAACCCCCTCATTTCTGAGCGGATTTGAAACACGAATGGAACTCTGTTGCAAATTTCTATGGATGTATTTTTGGAGCTTCTAATCTAACAGATGGCAGATGGCCAGGGGAAAACGAGGTGACGAAAGGAAATCTCATGCTGCTACTGTTCGGAGTCGACAAATTGATCGAGCAAATAAAATTGCATGTCTGAGGAAGTCAGATGACCTGGGGGCAAGACAGCTGCACTCAGAGTAAATATATTTGCAGCGAGTAAATTTGAGTTACTCATATTTACTCAAAAATGAACAAAGTAGTCTCGATTTTCTGATCAAAGAAATATCGTCTGACAGCATATTTCGTTTGAAGCATCTGTTCGCACATTTGACCGATTGAATCGCTCGTTTAACAAATCGAATTGTGGACAAACGAAATGCTACCATAGAGGTAACTCTAAGACAAGTAGGTCCCGAAGAAACGTGCTCAACTTTTTGGCTCACCTCTGGTACTATCTTCGGTCCCAAGCTTGTCGAATCACCCCTCGAAACATAGGAAAAACCAATAACCCCTCATTTTATCTGTCAAACTTTCATAGCGAATCAAAACAAACATTGCGTAGTACTAGAATTTCGACTAGAATAGGGTACGTTAATCGTTTGCTTGGGACCAATAGGCTACTAAAGTGGTGAGCCAATTTAAAATCGTTAGTTTCGTATTGATTGTTGATGCTACTGTGGTGGTTTGACTGAACGACGGTTTTACGGGGCTTGGATGCCTTTCAGGCGCCTTCCCTCGTTGGTGAGGATTGACACGGCCTAGGACGATACAGGATTGACTGGAGTGATCCGTTCCAAAAGGGGAATGCTCCTTTTCGGTTACCTGAGGTACAACCTGAGCTTGAAACTTCGTCCGTGGTCAATAGAATTGGTCCTTGACTGCTGATTGTGGTATATTATGTAGCTGCTGATTCTAGGCCAGATTAGGTCAGCTCTGGCCAGCTTCGCCAGCGGAAGAAAACCACTTCAAATTTAGCGCTTTGCCAGCAATCGTAAATTTATCATTGAAAAAGCGTTGCCAGATGTATTGCCTCTAGCAATGAATTAAAGTTTATTAAAACAAGCAATTGTGAAATTTTACTGGATGTATTTAATGGTGAATAGGGTAGAGAACTACTTCGGCCTAATCGCCCATTTTGGGCCTATCGAGCAGAAAACTTCAAATAAATCCATGATTTCAGAGCTAACAAGTCAATTATGCGTTTGGTACGATACTTTAGTTAATAAGCTACCGAACGAAGTCAATGCGAACGCGTGGTATGAAGGTTTGCACCCATTATTCCCAAAAACAAAAGAAACGCTCCGACCGAATCAATTTTTATCTTCATCCGATAGGCCGAAGTAAATTAAATGGCGTTTCAATTGCGTTTCAATGCGTTAGGCCGAGTTTAAAATCCGAGTAGGCCGAGTTTGGCGTCAAGAAGCAGTGTTGGACTTTTGACAATATCTTAACGATTGGTTTCTCGTTTCCAAATCTTACGGTACGTACGGAAAGGTAAATAAATTTGGAAGCCATCAGTAATAAAAATATTCCGTTCGGTGCTAAACTGCTATAGATTAAGAAAGACTAAGTGCGGGTTGTGCTTAATAGGCCGGAAATGGGGTAGTTAACCCTAAATATCAGAAACTGAATAAATTAAAAAAAAAAGACCATTTTAGGCATTGTAGCGGTCCAATTAAAACAATTAATAGGAGAGATGATAGCAGTGCCACAAACTATATTGCTCTAAGAATTGAATTTATTGAATTAATTTAGCCTAATCCGAACCTATCGAACCACCCCAAAAGTCCCTACACAGAAATTCCAAGAAAGCACGTCAACTAACTTTGCTTGACAGCACCGGTTTCAACGTAATTTTCAATATAACAATCAGGTTGCTATGAGTATATAAGACATTGAGCAGCGTGAATTACTCCGAGTTACTCAAAATTTACTTCGGTTTTACTCATGATCGATAGCTGTCTTGCCCCCAGCAGATGACTCCTTATTTTTCCAAAGATCTTCGGGTATTCAGAGATCCCCGAAAACTTTTCAGGATATATTTTCAATACTTTTGGTCTAATTTGTTTACTCTATCGAATAATTAAATCAATTAAAATCACGTCTCACAGATATTCTCATCGACAGCAAAATTGTCCGGGACCGAGATGTTTTTAAGACAGGTGGGCAGGAACTCACAGTCTCCCAGTGTTGGTGAGTTCTTTGCCGTTAATGTTCACGAAAAGTTCACTATTTTGCCATACAGAAATTCAAAACAAAAATTTTTATCTGCGGATTTGGACTGCTTTTGACCTGTTTCGTACGACCGGAAGGTGTATGCTGGTCACAAATGCCGTGCCAAACTGATTTCCTACGCAATTAATCAATCTTTGATGTGAATTTCGCTTAAAAAACACGAGGAGCATTTCTTATAGCAAAACTTGCCATAACAAAATGGGCGGTTCATTTTAGTAAACAAACTAACACTTCTTCCGACTGTGTCACCTCTCTTACTCGCCTAGGTCCGGGACCACTTCTCGTGGTTCATATACATGCACACCAAATTTTGAATTTGCCTTCCAGCAATTTGATTTGCTGAATAATGTCCAGCAAAACTAACTGGATAGCAGCAACGCTTTGTTTGAAGTGCTGGAAATCAGTAAAAGTACTATTTGTCAGTTAGACTTTTTTACGTGTATCACAAGTTGGTAAACAGTTGTTAAAGTTAGGTCCTGCAAACATTCATCTTCGAGAGCGGTAAGATCCTCATGAAAGTATGGCAAAATAAACTCTATTATGAATGTATCTTTTACCGGTGCTATCTAAAGCAGGTCCAGAAATGATCACCAATTGTTTCCTTACCTGGTGGGGTTCATTCATCATATACATTGTGTTAATCCCAAAAAACATCAATCGACCATGCCCATATCATAAAATACGCTGCAATATGAATAAATACAAAAAACTTCTTTTGTAAATCAATAATCTATATAGGGGAAATGTCTCTAATGTTGGCCTATGGATCTAAGATTGGGCCCATCGCTAAAAATCTGCTATTTATCAATTTTATCTAGATGGACGCGTTATTGGGACGTTACTTATGGATATTTTTGGTTGCTATTGAAAATTTAGTCGATTGCAAAAGCCTCCTAAATAAAGCTAAATTAATTAATTAGTCGATTGCTGAATTTATGTATGGGCCCAAATTAGGGACACTTGGGCCGATATTACCTGCATTTCCCCTACATTTATTAAAACAAATAAACAATACAAAATAATGCTGAAAGTACAGCAAAATCCTACTGCTGTCGATAAAAATAATTGCTGAAAATCCTGCAAAGTAACTGTCAAACTGGATTGCTGATAGGTCAGCAAAGTTAATTTGCTGGATGGATTGCTGTAAATCCAGCTTGGAAAAATCCAGCAAAATTTTGCTGGTTTCCAGCGAAATAAAATAAGTGTGATATACAATCCCGTAAAGTTAACATTAAATATTTAACATTTTGATTCACTGTCTATAGGTGACTCCATTTCAACGTGCTCATTAGCTGCCCTTGCGTAATTTGGCTTCAAGTTGCTACAGTTCGTCCGCGGTACGAAATGCCAAAATGAAGACAGAACACGCCACCAGCTCTCGGTGTTTTTTCCTGCTCTCGCGCTGCTCGATTCTCTCGGCTCTCTCATCAGGTTGATTGAAAACGTTGAAAACAAAACTTTTTTTTTCTTGCTTTCCTTTCGCTCTCAGCTTCCAGCTGGTTGCAGTGATGCCACATTTTTTCAAAGTTCAATCTGTATTTTCATCGCAAAAAATCTTTTTAATCTGTATCTGGCTGACACAAATCTGTGAAAAAATGTGTATAATTTCTATATTATGGTCTCAGTGCGAATTTACGTAAATCTCCATTGAGCAAATTCATAGTTCAGAAGAAGTTTGTTCAATGTTTAGAATCATGAAAAATTACTAAAGTTTGCTTTCTAAAGAAATTGTCTATTCTAAAAATCTTGAAATCCTACAATCTTGATTTTTTGTAGTGTTTTGTATCTCTTTTACTGTCAGAAAATACAAAACATTAAGCACCAGTTGTAAGGGACAAATCTTTTTCCGACTGAAAATTCCCTTAATCAAGTAACTATCACAATTCCCTAGAATTTGATTTATTTATATCTCAGATTACGCAAACCTTTATCTGGACATTAGACATAACACAGAACTTTTACAGGAAATTTAGTCGAATTGCATGCAATATTCTTTATTTCTATAATTACGCTTTTAAATATAAACATATCCAGTTATTCTTCGACTCACAAACTGTAATCAACCAGTTTGGGGGTTTTCAAAAATGGCTTGTTTACCGAGTTGACAAAATATATTTAATTAACTTCGTATCTGAAGGGGGAATAGAAAGGGAAACTAATATTCCTTCCAACGAGAAATCAGAACATCTGAACATCAGAAGTCCATTCGAAAGATTCCAAGTCCATCTGAAGCTAAAACAATAATAATTTACTTAATAAAAAATTCGATTTGATTTTGATGCTCAGATTGAATTCAAGCTGCTCAAAATGAAGAAACGATTATTTATCGGAATTAATAAATTAAAAAAAAAATAATGCAAAATATATTCCCTTTATTTGAAAAAAACCTGTATATTTTTCAAAAATCTGTAATCTGTATATACAGATATCTGTATAAAAATATTGAAAAAAATCTGTATGATTACAGATAAATCTGTATATGTGGCATCACTGGCCCTGGTTGTCTGTTGCTGCTGAAGAGAGAACCGTTTTTTTTTCTGACCAGATCGTGTGTGCCCGAGAGAGTGGTTCTCCAGCAGGCAGAGCGAGAGCGAGTGAGCGAGCGAGCGAGCAAAGTAAAGTCCGTTGTTCCTGTGTTCGTTTTCTTCGTTCCGTTTAGTTTACGTGTTGGCTTCTTCCCGTGCTGGTGGAGCTTGGTCCCTGGAATAGAGTGCTGGTGGTTTTGGTTCGCGATCGCGTTCTGTGTGATGGTTGATAGCCATATATTCCGGCCATCAGGATTTTTACCCTCTTCGTGGAATCGATTACGGTGAAGAACTGAGATGAGAAGATCGTTGGAAATCTTTGTCCTAAACTAGTGTTTTAGTTAAGGTGAAAATTGTGCAAAACAGTCCCCGGGTTGCTGTTTGTTGGAAAGTGAGTTTTCCCTTCGGATCAGTAGTTTATAAGTGGGTTAGCATCTTCCGAGTTTTGGTAGAGAGAAAAAAGGTGAGCAGCAACAAGAGTACAAACTACAAACCGTGGTGTAGTAAATGAAGAAGGAAAATCGGAGCAAATGAAACTGGTTCTACCAGTTTTGGACGGCCTCATCCTATGAGTCACGGCGGATCACGGTGTGGACGGACAGAAGAACAAGAGTAGAAGGTGGCCACAGAAAAGGGGAAAAGGAATATTGCTGGTGACTGGATTGGTTGGCCCCGAGACGGAAGAGATTCTTATTTTGAAAACATCGACTGGACTTGTTTTCTTGGTCTGTTAAAATTGCGTGGTCAGCCACCAGGAAGCTACTGTTTAGTTGGTTTTCATCTTGGATTTTTTTTTGTGTTGTTACATTTCCACACTCCTACCACCAAAGTGTGTTCTACTTCAATGAGCTTCGGAGAAAAAAAAAATGATGTTGGAGAAGAAGTGAAAATATAACTAGCGAAATTGTTCAATGGGCTCAGAATGCTGGCAGTGTGTGAGTGTGTACTAGTGGAAGTGTTGCTAGAATGAATGCTGGTTTGTTGCAGATTGAACTTTACTGTGTGTAATGTGTAATATAGGTATTTGCATGATAATAAACATTCTCTCAATTTGGAACAATTCAGTAAGTACATAGTTTGTTAAACATATTTCAACGGTTCCTTTCGAGTTGAACCTGTAGAGGGTTCCTGGAATTCGTCGCCCCGTTCAAATTGCTGATATTTCATTAGCGAACGTTGTTAGCCTGGTGGATGTGTCTAGCGTTCAGAATCATAAGGGCCCAACTGGAATGCTCGATTCTCTTCATAGATGTTTGTTGATAACTCGGTTGGATTGTTACTTTTGCTTTAGGGTAGAAGGGGCAAGACGGTCATACGGGGCGAGATGGGCCACCGTTTGTTCGGCCACCTATTAAGAAATTTTCATGTCCTCTTCAGAATTCAATGTTCTCTTCAGAATTCAATACAGTAATGACCCGATTTTATCAGCCCTCTGCGGTTTAGACTATTGTCTTTCAATAATTTCACATAACCGTAATTCCAAATCTTCCGCATCCATCTTCAAGGTGGATGTTTAAGGTATACTTTGGTGCAATAAGACAACTGAAAAAGCGCATGAGTTTCGCAGTACATTAGAAAATATTTTCAAAAAGGAGGCTGACAAAATCGGGTCATTGCTGTATAAGCTTACCTAAGAATTTTCTTGAAATTCTCATTATCTAATTATCTAGGAAATATTCTCAGGATTCTCCTGTTCTTTGAATTCATTGAGGTCTCCCAAAGTATTGTTCCAAAATTATATTGGAATTCACATCAGAATTCAATGGGATTGTTTATCAGAATTTTCTTGCAATTCTTCTTTAGGGGTCAAGCCTACCTTCGAGGCAAAAAAAATGTAAAATTTTGGGATTTTTTGTTCTCGGAAAGTAATTCGACAGTGAGCATGCATATGGGCGTAAACGCGATGATCGATTCTCTTCGTTGATGTTCTCTTTTGTTCATAACTCGCTAGAATTAACGTTTCTCGGTGCTGTTGCTTTTGATAGCCAATACAACCTGTTACAATTCTGCATTGAACAAATTCTAGAAAATTGTTTCACTTAGCTGTAGCAATGCAAAGAGACAATCGCGATGATCGCCCTTATGCATGCTTACTGTCGAATTGACATATTTAAAATTGGTTTTCACACATTTATTGTTCTTACATTCGTCTTCGAAAATCATTATATTATATGTTTCCTGGTGACGTTCGCGGTGGTCACGCTGGTACGAGCAGAAATTATCTGAATTCAAAAATTTCAAAAGGAGGTTGCATTAACAATCAGTCAATTCAGATGGCGATCGATGAATTGAATTTTGTTTTTTGACAAAATGGAGGCCTTTTAATGCTAAAACACTGTCATTTATCGGTTTCTAACAATCGAATTTTAATAATATGCCATATCCCTACATAAAATCGTTTATTGCGACGCTCTGAAAGCAATATTGACAGGTTTTATGTGGCGTTGGTTGTAAATGCTAACATGAAGCTTTAGTGTGATAATTTATTAGCTAGAGAATGATCTTTAGAAGATGGTAGGTGGATAGTTCCGTTAGAGTACGGCAGTATGAAAATTGAATAGAAGTTGAAAATGAGCGAAGGGCCATTAATGCGACAGTTTTTAAAGTCAGACGCACATCTTTTGCCTAACCCGTACGATGTACGTGGAGACTTAAAGTATGTCTTCAAATCTACATATGTGGAATAGTTCTAGCGTCGTTTCATCACTACCTAAAGCCCCACGTTTGCGAGAGCATTTCCAGCCGATGGTGTGTTACTGCTTTCTCTCTGAGATGACTAGAGGAGCAACACAATAGTTGGGTAAAGAAGAATATTCATCACATTGATGTGAGCTAAAACGAAATTCTTGATTGCTGCCCCCGTGAAAAAAAAACACTCAAATTTGGCGGATCTCATCGACCGTGTAAGCCCACTGTGAGTTGTACTACACTGAAAACGAATCAATAAACAGTTCTAAACAATACACAAACACAACTGAACAAATCGGATGCACCTATTGAATTTGAGTTATCACGGACAACGACTATAGAAAATAAGTTTTCGAGATATTCACGTTTTAAGTTATATTACCGGTATCATGGCCTTGGTACTCTTTAAAGTCGCATAACTTCGTCAATTTTTATGGGATCAACATGGCATTTTGGGAAAATAATCTTAAATGTATACACTTTCGATTGATGCAAAAATCTATTTTTTGAACTTAACAGGTAGGCATGACCCCTTAAACTAACCAGGAAACTATCATCGTAATAACCTTGGAATGCTCATTGGAATTGCCCTGAAGCTTTCCTAAGAAATTCCTAGGTATCCTTTTAAGAAACCCTTGAAACTATGCTGACAACTCGATTCCGTTTAAAATCTTTCCAATATTTTATTTGAACTTCAGTCAAATCTCTCCCCAGAAATCGTTCCTAGTTCTCCCTAGTGACCTCTTAAAATCCCTTGAGGGAATCTGTTATAATTTTTTTTGAGATTCTAAGAATTCGATTCCCTTCGAATTCTTCTTAAAATTCTGTTGGATCATTCTTCTGAATCTTACTGGAATACTACTCAGAATTTATTTGGAAATTCACTCAAAAATCTCTTTGAAATGATCTAGATTTCCCTGGAATTATAGTATCTTCACAACTACCTTGGAATTTACCTTTATTTCAACTTACAATTTTCTTGGAATTACTTATCAAAACCTCCTCTGAATTTCTTTAGATTTATCTCTAGAATATCTTAAAATTTTCACCAAGCGATGATTTTTTAAAATCTGTGATGTTCACCACTATTCTGTATTTCGTTTCGAACGAAATTCTCATACAAAAAAATATTTTTTTCAATATCATTCAAAATTTTCTTTTGTAATCTTTGACAAAGTGCTCAGTCCGTGGTTCCATAGATCTCTTTTTTTTTTCTAAATAAATTTCCAAGTACAACCCACTCGGCCTTCGAAAAAATATCATGCAATCAAGAGTCAAGAAAAATTTTAAAATTCCGAGAAAAAAGTATTCTTATGTATACTAATTTATTTAAATCATGGAACAAAATTTTGACAACTTGATGCAATCTTGGAGCCTTTTTGGGGCATTCCTTTTTAACATATGTAGCTATTTATATTAAACCGGGAAAACTATGATGGGCAACCTGGCATAACCGAAAAAAAACTGGGAATTCAATTTCTTAGTTCAGTGGCCACCCTGAATATTTTGAGATTTGCTAACGTTTTAAGAGCTGGTGCCCAGGTAGATTGAGGTTAAGGTGATTTGCTTAATTTTCTTAAAATCGCTGGTAGAAGGCTCGGCAATATGATTAATGGGAACACAAAGGGGTGCAGGAATTTTTGACCTGAGCCGAATTTGTATTATCTCTGGTAGTCGATAGTCCAGCTACAAGCTTGTTAATGGATATAACAAGCTTGTAGCTGGACTATCAAAGGGTAGTAAACGGGACGTGGATAATTATCGTGAAATCACAACGTTGTTACATCTGCTCTCCCATTGTAAGCAGTTCCAAAAGAGAAGATCAACATGGCTTCACCTCCCGTCGATCTACTACCACCAATCTACTGTGTCTACACTGATTTGTCTGCTGTCTTCGATAAGATAAATCACGCCATCGCGATCGCCAAATTGTATAGACTCGGGGTTAGTGGAAATCTCTTGAGACGGTTTCGCTCATATCTCGCCGACCGTCAGTTGGTGACTACCTATCCTATGGTGACTACCAGTCAGAGATTTTTGCAGCTACGTCAAGAATACCTCAAGGAAGTCATCTGGGATCGTTGATCTTCTTACTTTACTTCAACCGCGTGAATTTAGTTATCGATGGTCCGTGACTATCGTATGCAGACGATCCCGAAAACTACTCACGGATCTGCTCGATCGATGATTGTCAATTAACTACTTCATTCGAGCAGATAAAATGACGTTTACTATCACTCGAACTTTGAAATGAAACATTATTTAGAGATTTTTTCTTCCAGAACCTCGAGAAAAGTAGCCAACATTTGCGCGTTTCACTAAAAAATAGAAATTAGTTGGTCCAGTTTTATGAAATTGCTGGTAGAAAGTCACACCAAAACTGCTTGACAAAGTGGTCAATTCTTCCAACGTCAGTTTGAAGCATTTTCCAGTGTTCAGTCATTACCTTTACCCGAAAGAAATAACCAGTTATTTTCCGCATGCTCTCCGGGGTACCACTATTGAGCATGTGAGCCATGTAAAAGATCTAGGTATCACCCTGGACTCTCAACTTACATACAAGCAACACATCTCATACGTCGTAGACAACGTCGAGGACATTGGGCTTTATCTTCAGAACAGCTAAGAATTTCTCCGACATACATTGCCTTAAGTAGTTGTATTGCTCCCTGGTTCGTTCCATTCTAGAATATTGTTCTGTGGTTTGGAGTCTGAACTATAACAATGGTACTGAGAGAGTCGAATCCGTTCAACGCCTTTGTCTGCGATACGCTT